CGAAAATTATATTTAATTTTATTTATACATAAACAACGCGTAGAAGACGTCATTGAGTAATATTGTTCAAAATACTTGAAATACACACACACACACACACACATATATATATATATATATATATATATATATATATATATAGTGTAAAAAAAATATTATATCAAAGTTAATGTTAATAACATAACCATTTTAAACAACATATATTTATCAATATTTTAATAATATTTTTTATAATGATTATGATAATACATTTATTTTTTAATTTAAATATTATGTTAAATCCAAACTATAAATCAAAATATTAAATTAACTTACAAAAATTTAAATATTATTTTTTAAATAGTTAAAAAGGTTTAAATATTTTTAATACTAAATGGTTTAAAATTAATAGCCAATAATTATAAACCATAATAACATCAATTTATAAATTTTATAACGTTATCTTTAAAATAATATTAAATTAATCGATATATAACAATTGTTAGAAATAACATTAAATCGAGAGTTATATTTAATTTTATTTATGCGTAAACAACGAATATATTGAGTAATATTATTGTTCAAAATAGTTAAGATGATACATAAACTTAGTGTAAAAAATATTATGTCAAAATTAATGTCAATAACATAACCATTTTAAAGAACATAATTTAATATTTTAACTACCGTATTATGTCAAAATTAATGTCAATAACATAGTTTAATATTTTAACTACCATAGGGCCTTAACAAGATTTCGTCTGGTTAGTAAATAAGGAAACAATCACAAAAACTCAATTCCTTTTGCATTTTCTCTCCCCCTCCTTTTATCTTTGCAACTTCGGTAAACATTGCCCCACTTGCCTCCTTACTTCGTATTATGGTGGGATCTACATGTACATGTTTTTATAGTTTTCGGGTATAGAGAAAAATGGGATCCACGACCAAAAGATCTAACAAAAAACATAGCCTTCGTATGATCCTTTTCTAATACCCTAACGCCTTCGTATGATCCTTTTCTAGTACCTATCTTGAGCAAAAACTATTTTTATCAACACATAAACTTCAAACTACAAACTACAATGATTTAGTCCGCATCTTCTTAACTAATATCAGTGGCGGATCCACATTGCCGCAAAGAGGGACCACTTGGTTGTGTTGCTATCCTAATTTTTATATATAAATAAATAATGCACTTAAAAATATCTAACTTTGCAATTTCTCTTTTGTACTTTAAAAAGTCCCTAAAACCTTGGATTTATAATATTTCAATTAAAATGTTTAGATGCTAGTTGGATTTTTTTTTCTGAATCCATGACTAACTATTATCCTAAGTTATGAAGCTCCCATACCATTAATTTAAATATTTTTGGACTAAACAAAAAGCAACAATAGACTTAATCTAAGATCACTTTCATTAGAATTTCAAGATATTACAAACCCTTTTCTTTAAGTAGTTAAATGACATGCAAAAACATACAAAATTAAAAAAAGAAACAAAAACAAAGGTTGACAACATGTAGCAGAACTGTTCCCTTGTCACAATTCAACCCAAAATCTTTTTAGCCCACAACTTGTTTACTTGTTCTTCATCTCATACATCCTCCATTTCCATCAAACTCACCCAACAAAACGACACATGCTTTTTATTTAATGATTTTTAACTTTGACTAACTGGATTTTCAAATCATCATATTCAATTTTTGGATGTAAAAAATCATTGTTCTTATAAAAAAAAGAATACGTATGTAAAAAACAAACAACTAATTTAAACAAAAATATCAAATCCAAAACTACTTATTGTTATAAATATTAGTTTATAACAAAAAAAAAATATACTGAAATTTCAATATATTTTCTTTAAATTTGGTATATTTGATTTTAGACATTGAGAAATGGGTAACAATCATGGAAGTATGAGATGAACATGGAGTTAGAACTTCTACATTAAATTGTACCACATGAGGCAGGACATGGGTAACTCAAATTATTGTCAACTTGTAAAAGATAATAAAACAGTTACATTATTAGTTGGATATCTTACAGTTTTTCTATCATAACAAGACAAACTAATTTATTAACCAAAAACCATAACAATAATTTGTAAATTGTAATAATAGTAATGGGATACAAATAAGAACGGCTTAAACAGAAATATATAACATAAGATATTCGTTCTGATTCTATCTGTCATGTCTTCTTCTATATCTGATTCTATCTATCATGTCTTCTATATTTCTTCTTCTCATACTTGTATCTCCAATATCATTGCCAAGTTTACGACTAAATTGGCTTTTATAACATATATGAACATGAACATTTACTTAAATTTCAAAATTATGTTTTGTAAAATTCGGCATACATTTATAAAATCAGATATTAGGAACTAGAAATATGATTGAGGTACTTCTGCCATGATGTAAACTCTATATAAATACAAAGAGCTATAAATGAAAAGGTGGTAGTTTTGTATATCGATCTATAAAGTACATATATACAAAGTACAAAACATACATAATATAACCATTATTTTGATTTTGTTATCTACATTTGCCTCTTGCGAGTGAGATTAGATTGAATTTATAAAGAAGTTTCTTGCAATTGTTACCATATGTGATAAAGAAAACAAGATAATTTCTAGAGGAGGAAGATAAAGGCATGCAATGAGAGAGAAAGAGACAATACGACAAAAGTTAATATATACCATACTTTGATATGATGAATCTATCAAATAAAACGTTTGGTGAAGGAAACAATCGCAATATATGTAGATCTCTGTTAAGAGTTTGGGAGGCAAAACTGCACCATCCACTTCTGCTTCTGCAAAACACAACACATTTCTTATTTGACTATGTTTTTGAATATAAGATTAAAGCTTAAATTAAGTGAGATGTTCTTGTAATAAGAATTTTAAACCGAAATAAACACAAACATTAATGGTTGATAATGACTAATCTCATGATTCCACGTAGTTTGAAATCAACATATGAAGACTTTGAAGATATAAGGAGTAAGGACAACTAGTGGTACGGTTTACAGTTTTTATAATATTGATTTTGCTGGATTTGTGTCAGGGCTAACATGGTTTTGTTTCTAAAATTTTTGTAGCAAATCATTAAACAAAGTAAATTAGAGCCGGATTCTTCCATGGAAGTTTTCAACTGTCCCATTGGTGAAGAACATGACAGCTAATAGATTAAATATTGAGACATGGCAGTTTGTGGTTTTGTGCAATTACACAAGAAACATCAAGGAAACTGTTGAATTAATTAATTGTTAATTAATTCGTGTTATATTTATTATGAAGTTAGTGCCCTGGAAATCTAATGATAATTATAAATAAGTTAGGATACGGTAGAGGGTCTTGTACCCTCCTTAGGGCAAGCTAGTGACTCGAATGGTGCCTTGAAGTACAATGAACAATATTGGACATTCATAAACATTAAAAATGTCCCAAAAATGCATCTTCAAAAGGGTTCTTCGATTGAAGTATATAGACGATCACTTCTATGAAGACCAATGAACAATATTGGACATTCATAAACACAACTTTTTTCTTGTTTAGGGGCACATCACTAGTGTTTAAGGCTATTTTTGGATGCTTAATGCATCTCTTGAGCCATGAATATGACCTTGGCATTTAAGACCACTTTGTTTTATACCAAAAGGTTAAATCTCAACAACCCATTAGTCCACACCAAACAAACTCAAGCCAATTGTGTGAGAGATAAATTAGACACTCAACAACCAACTGGTTATGAAGAAAAGAAACTACGACTAAGGGGGAAGCAGAACAAACTAAGTTGTAGGTATACGACCAACACAAACACACACACAATATTGTCAGGATGTTGAACAACACACCCACACACGATTATAGATGCGACAAAAAATAATAAAGAACACAAAAGAATCTATTTGGTTCACACGATCGAGGTAATCATTCTACATTACATGCAAACAATATATATAGGTTTTCTATTGATTTTGAATTAGGGTTTACAAGTACAACAATATGTGTTTATTTAGAAAATGTCGGGCCTAATATAATCAACAGGCGAAACTCACGAACCACCCAAGTATCATTGCTCGGTTGTTATAGATGCAATGAGGTTCAAATAAAACAATCGGATTCCACAACTCAACAAATATTTGATGCGAGGAAAAATAAATAACACACAGAAGTTATGTGGTTCACACGATTAGGGTAATTGTTTGCATCCGTATCCAAACTAAAGAGATATTTATTGATTTCGTTTACTCATAAGCATAGAGATAGAGTTTACACTTGGGCATAAAATACCATTCAGGCCAAGACAAAAAAAAAAATCTTGGTCATTAGCATTTTATTCCACAATTATTATTATTATTATTATTTTGAAATGACAAATTATCCTACTCCTAATTTAATCATAAACACCACCTAAGTTTCCTAATGAAACTTGAACTCATGATCAGGGCCCGGTTCTATGTAGAGGTTTTTTAAGGTAGGGCTTGGGGCCCCCAATTCTAAAGGCCCCATATTCTCCAAAGTCCAAAGGTTTAGTCCATTAAAAAATCCAATCCGGTAACCACAAAATAAATGAAGCAGAAGAATAAATCAACGATCGATGCATTCATGAAACTGAAACGACTTTGCATTCTTCTACCGATTCTGATTTCTGCGAAATATTCATCTCATCCGTTTTCAATTTCCAAGTATAGTAAAGGCCAAAGGATCCCAAAATTTTGGCTCGCTTAAAGCCCCAAAATGGTTGAGCAGTCCATGCCCATGACCTCTTCATTTAAGAATGCTTTAGGAATATGTATAGTAGCCTTGATCACAACCCTTATGCTACACATTATCCTTTAATTTGTTGAGTAATGGGCCAACTGGTTTACACTGTTATGATACATATGAAAGTCAGGGAGTCAAGCCAGCAACCCCACTTGTGAATTAAATGTATCAATCTCATATATTGTTTATTTTGGCATCTATATATAGCCACCCACATGGGCAAAGCATGATCATTCATATTCAAGTTCAAATAGCCTTCTTCTTCTCCAAAAGCTTCAACGAGACAATACAGAAAAGAAAATGAACTACTGGTCAGCTGAAAACGCCACTGAAGCTTACATCAAAACCATGAAAATGGTAGGTTAATTTATGAGAAATCTTGATCAACTTTTTGAACCAATCTTTTTCATTTCAATTTAGCCATTGTTAAAAATATTACAAAAGAACAATGTTTCGTTCAAAGATTTAATGTATAATCTCCTAAACTCCTCTTTTCATAATTTCAGGGTAAGAGAGCTAATGAACCAGATGTTGCAGAGTTCATATCAGCCATTGCAGCAGGAAATAACGCTCAACTCATGGTGGTTGCATGTGCTGAGGCGGCCGGCTCCACCACCCAAGGCCTCATTGCTGCATCTCATCAAACTGGTGGTAGGCTGATCTGCATCGTGAAGGGAATCGAAGAGCTTCACTCTTCCAAGCAAGCTCTAAGCTCAGATGCGAGCCAAGTAGAGTTTGTTGTAGGAAATGCTCAAACTCTCTTGTCAAATGACTACAAATCTGCCGATCTTGTGGTTATCGACTGCAATCTAGAGAATCATGAAGGGATTTTGGGAGCAATACAAACTGAGAGAGAAAAGAATACGATTGTTTTGGGGTATAACGCTTTTTGGAAGGATTCCTGGGTTTGGAGCAGATTGAACAGTCACTTGTTGCCGATTGGAGAAGGGTTGTTATTGATGAGAATCGCCGGACAGTCAGGCAATGGTGGCGGCAAGAACGGTGGCCACGGCGGCAACAAGGGCGGAAGGCCAAGTCATTGGGTGGTTAAAGTAGATAAATGCACAGGCGAAGAGCATGTTTTTCGGATCAGATCACCAGGTGGTAGAGTTGTTCGGGCTTGAAGTTTCTACATTCTTGTTGCCTTGTTGAAGCTGTTCATCCGTAAATGTATATAGCCATATATAGCTAGCTTATACATAATCGACTTCTGGGTGTTAATTAGATCACCAGAAAGATTATCAATTTGTACTTATTGTCGATTATGGAATTTGCGCTATTTTAGAACTTAGTTTTAATGAAATTTTGATTAAGGAAGTTTTGTATATCATGATTCATCGTATGGGTCATTATTTCGTGGGTTAATATTTAAAATAATTATTTTTAAGTCAATTTTGGTATAATATATATTCTTTCTGTGATAAATATTTAATTACAACTATGAGTCGTGTCCACGAGATGAAGCAGAAACCTTTTCTAATCACACAACCCAATTTTTTTTTTTTTTTTTACAATAATAATGTTTAGGAAATCTCTAATAAAATCTCAATATTTTAGTTTACTTTTACGGTTTAATCTCAAATTAAATTTTATTTATAAAAAATAACAAATTATCGGCTAAAACTTCAGAATAACCCTTTGTGGCCAGTTTCATAGATTTAGCCAGTATCTCATCTTTTTTCGTTAATTGATCAAAATTTTGGAGTTTTTCCATTAATTGATCAAAAGTTTGGGGTTTTTTCATTATTTTTTTACCAATAACCAAACTATTAGGACTTTTTTTAAGATTACTTTTAAACTAATGTATATTATATGATCTAAGTTAATATGTATTATTCCCCGTCTTCTTTCTTGCGCTATTTCTAGGCTCACCGTGTGTTTTTGTCGTCGTTGTCGAACCCAAAAACAAAAAGCTCACTCACAAGCATCGTTAACTCCATTGATTTTTCAAAATCATCAATTCACAACTCTGCGATCATCTTTCAATCTCCAAATAAAGAAATAAGAAAATCTTTGTTGATCACGTGGATGTTCTTATTACCTAACCATGACTTGAACCATGGTTCCAACACTCGGATGTTCCTATTACCTAACCATGACTTGAACCATGGTTCGAACCCATACATTAATGGCGTTGGTCATAGTGTTGTTAACAACAGAAGACGAATCCCGCATGGTTCAGATATGATACCTTGGCTTAAGTCTTACTTGACCCTCATTTCTCTACAAAAGGGCTAGAAAACCACGAAGAATGAACCATCGAGCTTAAAAAACTCAACATGGGTAAAAAAGTACATTTCTCCTTTCTTAATTTGGAGACTGAAAGATGACTAAAGAGTTGTGAATTGATGATTTTGAAAAAATAGATGGAGTTAACGATGCTTGTAAGCGAGCTTTTTGTTGTTGGGTTCGCCGCCGACGACGAAAACACACGATGAGCCTAAAAAGAGCATAAGAAAGAAGACGGAGAATGGTACATATTAACTTAGATCATATAATACACCTTAGTTTAAATGTAATCTTCAGAAAAGTCTCAATATTTTGGTTATTGGTAAAAAATAATGAAAAAGCCCCAAAATTTTGATCAATTAATAAAAGCCCCATAAATTGGCTAAATCTATGAAACGGCCACGAAGGGTTCTTCCGAAATTTTAGTCGGTAATCTGTCTTTTTTTGTAAACAAAATTTAATTTGGGATTAAACAGTAAACTGGCCTAAAATGTTGGGACTTTATTAGAGATTTCCCTAATAAGTTCGATACATTTCTGCATTCATAGTTTATTTTGGAAAGACAAACAAACAGTTATGTCGTAATACATCAATATATATATTATATATATATATATATATATATATATATATATATATATATATATATATATATATATATATATATATAAAAGCGTGAAAAGATAGGAGGATATTTAATTTCTCTTTACGTTTGATGTGATACTGTAGTTATGTAGAATTATATGGATGGTAACATGTGTTGTTTCTGTCATTCAGTTGACCATCAGGAGGTGAGGTAACAGTGGCCTTCGGTTTTTTTGGTGCGTCCATCGTCCAATTTTGAATAAATAGAGGATAGAGTGTGGATATGTAAGAGGGGCGGTACAAATATGAGTTTTCTTTTCTCTCTGATAAAGAGTATAAATGTTCAGATATTTTTTTTGTTTTTTCAAAACGGCTGAATTTTATAAACACGTTACTAGCAAGAGGCTAAAGGAACAAAAAAATACAAAGAATTATTAAACATTGGTTTTGTAACCACAAAGTCCAAGTTATGCTAATTCAATGATTCCTATTCAAAAACCAATCAAATGAATAATATTCTAGAAAATGAATTAGACTGGATAACAACATTATTTCTATACTGCCAAAGCATCCATATTGTGGTAAGCACAATGACCTCGAGAATTCTTGTCCTTGGAGCCACCACGTTAACCGAATCTATCCAAGCTAAAAGATTTGCAACACTTGAGAAAGGACGAAATGCCATATCTAAACACTTCACAATCTTCATCCAACTTTGAGAAACCACATCACACATTAGGAAAAAATGATTAACATCTTCCCACATACCCCACAAGTAAGGCATAAAACGGAACGCAAGTCAATGTTTCTATTTTCCAAATTCACCCTAATGGGGATTCTATCAAGAAAAATATGACAAAGTAAAACATTAACCTTAACCGGGACCAACTTACACCATCTAGTACCAACAATGGTCGAGTTTAAGGTTACATCATCAATGTAGTATCTAGAACTACTGACTGTGGAAACTCCATTAGGCTCCAACTCTGTAACAGCCCAAATTTTCACGCCCAAAAATTTCATTTTTATAAATTACTTTAATTAAAACATTCGTAGGAAAATACTGTCGAATCATAACATCTCATAAAACAATGTATCATGTTTGAAAACCCAAATCATAAAATAGTGATAATGTCATAGTACAATCCCAAGAAATCTCATAGTGCGAAATCTGAGGTGTGTGTGTGTAATGTGCAGCTACCGCGCCGACTCCTTCCCCTTCGCTGAAGAGGTACCTGAAACAAAACTGAAAACTGTAAGCACGAAGCTTAGTGAGTTCCCCCATAATACCACATACCATACACATATAAGGAACAGTTAGGAGATACGGGCCCCGCCCACACTCATGGCGATACGGGCCCCGCCTACACACCGCTAGCTGGGAGATACGGGCCCCACCCACACTCCACTATCTGGGAGATACGGGCCCGCCCACACTCCGCTGGTCAGGAGATACGGGCCCCGCCCACACTTCGCTATCACTGAGGTACGGGCCCCGCCCACGCTCAGCTACCTAATCAAACATACAAGTATCACACAGACAACAAGTATAACTAAATCTATCATACAGGCATATAGCATGATCGAACTCAACTAGGAGATGCGGGTCCTGCCCACACTCAGATACTAACGTGTCGCACGTATATGGGTCGGCCTTGGTGCCTTAGACCCGTTCCTACTGGAAGGAAACTCACCTCAAACGAGTAGCTGCTGATAATCTGTGCGGGGGAATCTCTGACTGCTGCTGCTCCGGAAATTCTCCGGCTATATCCCCCACAAAACACTTAATCAGAATCTGGTATCTACCCTTTAGGGTAAAATGACTATTTTACCCCAGACCAAGTCCAAGTCAAAGTCAAAGTCAAAGTCAAAGTCAACTTCAAAGTCAACTTCCAATTGACCCGACTCGCCGAGTTGGGTCGTCAACTCGTCGAGTCCCTACCCCTTCAACTGTCCTCTTCCACATCCCTACTCGTCAAGTTTAGCGATGACTCGACGAGTTCTCCTTCTAACACAACCTCAGATGAACCTTCATCCGACTCGCCGAGCGGTATGAACACTCGTCGAGCCCGTCTTCATCCTAAGAACACGTCCTGTCCTCGACTCGCCGAGTTGTATGAACAACTCGTTGAGTTCATCTTCAAGGGTTAGGAGATTGCCTTGGACTCGCCGAGTCTGTTCTAGCACTCGTCGAGTCCCATGAACTCCAGGTCTAAAATGAAGTCCAATGCGTTGGGTCACTCTTTCTGTCCTGCTACAACCCTACTAACACCCAACTGAGTTTTTTGACCCTCAATAGATATGGGACTCAAAGCCTTGGACTCGTCGAGTCCCAAGAACGGACTCGCCGAGTTGGTCACGTCCACACCCTAAATCCTCGATTTCTGATGTACAACTCATGACCAAAAGATAGATCTAGGCTCCTACAATCGTCCTAGCACGTAAAGTTACAAACTTTACGTGCATGCATGGGACTTTGAGTCCAAAAGGTCCTAAAACAAGCTCTTGGGTTGCATGGAGTCTTCCTTGGGTGGAAAAGCACCCACTTTCTGCCTTGTGACCCCTCAAAGGACCTAGATCCGAAGCCTTGTCCCCAACCATGCTTGCATTCATGGTTGGCTACCTAAAATGGCTTATAAAAGCCCTAAATCTCCACAAAATGGGATCTAGCAAATGAACTAGCAAGTTAGCAACTTTATACTTTCTGAGGACTGAAAATGAAGCACAATCTCGAACCCCTCTGGTCTCCTCTTGTTTCCTCAAGATCTTCTCCTTCCTTCTTAAGACCACCAACACCAAGATCCACCAAAATGACTTATATTGCTTCAACAACGGCTAGGGTTTTCTATAGAGGGTTTTTGGGAGCATAAGGGACGATGGAGGCTGTATAAGGTTGTTTAAATAGGGTGCAAACCCTCAGTTTAGGGTTTTGTCCAGACAGAGTCTACTCGCCGAGTCCGGGACTCGACTCGACGAGTCCATCACTTAAATCTCGCGTCTCATCCCGCTTCTACTCGGCGAGTTGGGCCTTCAACTCGCCGAGTCCCAGGCCAAAAATGCAAAATTACTAAAATAAAATACATACCAAGAAGCGGGTGCTACAAATCTCCCCCACTTATTTTAGACTTCGTCCTTGAAATCTGCTGCTCGATCCTGGAATAGCTCTAGGTAATGCTCCATCATCTCATCCACTGGCTCCCAGGTCCATTCCGAGCCCTTCCGGTGCTGCCATTGCACCTTCACGAGCTCCACCCTTTTGTTCCTCAGATCCTTCGACTTCCGGTCGAGAATCGCTACAGGCCGCTCAATGTAATTCAGGCTGTCATCGACCTGAATATCCTCTAATGGTACCACTGCCGAGTCGTCCGCCAAACACTTCCGTAACTGGGAGACGTGAAAAGTGCTATGAATCTGACTGAGTTCGGCTGGCAGATCCAACCTATATGCCACCTTGCCCACCCGGGCTATAACCCTGAAGGGTCCAATATACCTGGGACCCAACTTGCCCCGTTTCCTGAATCGGATGACGCCCTTCCATGGCGACACC